GCCTCTCGCGGAAGGCCTTCGGAACGCTCGGAGCCGGTCGGATCCTCCTGTCCATACGACTGCAGCGCCACCGCGTACATCCGGGATTTTTCCGTGTCGGCGCCTTATCCCACTACTCTTTTCTAGTATGCGCCGCCTTTTCCACCGCTTGGCGGCGGGTATGTTGACGGGTCATTTCTTGTTTCCGTACTTTATAAACTGCATTTCTTTTTTTTTTTTCATCTATAATAGTGAACAAAAACTACTTTTATAAATAATTGAAACGGTTCGCACCACTTATATTTTGTATTTCGACCAAAAAGAAGTTTTTAGTGGCTCTGACCAGTAGTAAGCCCAGGACCAAAGACGTCACAATTTGCGCGCTTTCGGTACCGTGGGTCGCCCTCGTCGGTGGAGGAGGTTTCCGTGTCGTCCGGTGAAAATATGGCGCATTGATATTTAGCTACTCTTTCCGTGCCCGCTTGCTTGCCCGAACCCCAAGAGACGTGGAAACCGCATAAAAGGTAGACGCTTAAATATGATTGCAGTGCCCCTTTAAGAAACCGAATTTTGCGGTCGACTTAAAGGGCCTGGCGTCTCCTTCAATCACCCAGTAGGACTATGTGGTGTTGGATGGGGCGAAGGAATTGGTTTGTCACGAGACGCGCTTTTTCCTGCTAAATTTAGCGGAGAAACATAAATATTGTAAACGTCACGTTCTCGGGACGTAAATTTCCTCTTCTAAATTGAGCCGGGAAACTGGATTGGTGTCTAGTTCACAAGACGTGGTTATTCCCGCTATATTTAGCGGTGTAACTGAAGTGGTGTATAAGTTACGTGACGTAAATTTCCCGCTAAATTCAGCGGGGAAACTGAACTGGTGTTTTGGCCACAAGATGTGAATTTCCAACCTAAATTTAGCGGGGAAACAGAGTTCACCATAGATCACTTGCCGACAATTTCCCTAAGGTGTATGGGTCACGAAGGCGTGAAGTTGGGCTAGTTGGTTCATAATCCAAACTTGGAAACAGCGCAAAAAAACAAGGGACACGCGTGTTGGTGCACCGTCCGTGGCTTTGGCAGATGACAAAGTGTCTTTCATTAAGAAATTCGGCAGATTTGTCTAAGTGCTCGGCCGTGCCTCAAGGGGTGGATTATGTTTTATCAATCTTGCATCTTTTATGTTTTCTTTCTGTTCCTCGCAGGAATAAACTTCAGTTGCCAGTCAGCGTTGTGTTCGTTCACTTCTCATTCTTGTCCCTTGTCTTTTTTGCGCTGTTTCAAAGTTTGCATGTGTATGGGTCACGTGACGATACTTTGCCCGCTAGATGAAGCGCAAAATGCACTGGCGGACGGACAGACGGACGTACAAAATTTTGGGATTTCGGGGGGGGGGGGGGGGGGGGGGGGGGTAGCGTTAAAAAGCATTTCAGGCTTTAAAACTTGCTACTGTATTTCAATTTTTCTATCAAACCGATATTTTCAGAAACACATTTTCTGAGGATTATCTCAGCCTTCCAGGCACCGTGTCTAGCATCGCCAGGTCCTCTTTTGCGCCGCTTTTTTTTTTTTTTTTTTTTTTTCTTGCACCTGGCAAAGACTTTTCGGAGCGTCTCGCACCCCTCTTTCCTGGATTTCTTGTCTTCTTTTTAAGTTAAGCCTTTTTCGTTCTCCACGTTCATTGAGTGCATTGCGGAGCTCGCGGCGCTGGTGTTTGGATGCCGGCCAACTCCCTTCCACCTGGCACGTTCCATTTTCAATGCTTAATCAGAGTTAGCTTCTGTAAGGATGCCAAGACGTATACGAACCTCATAAAAATATTACACCGTGAGTCAGTAGAGCGTAGCTTAAATCGTGACCCAATGCTTTTCTGGCGATATGTAAAGGATCGCACAACTAAAACTTCGTCATCAAAAAACATAGCTGACTCGTTTGGTAATATGCTGTCGGAGCCCGAAGATGTACCAAATGCATTCGCAAGTTATTTTTCTTCGGTTTATTCTTGCGGCCAAACTAAACTGCCTGTGCTTGCCGTCAGTGATAATGCCAGTGATCACCTGTCAATTTTATCTTTTGAAATTGCAGATATTGAACTTGCTATCAGGAAACTGAAGCCAAAGTTATCAGTTGCATTTAACGGCATTCCCAGCTTCAGTGTTAAAGGATGCTCCTCCATTTTTGCGCCCGTCTTAAACATATTTTTAACTTGTCGTTGTAGAGCCTTTTTTATTTTATTTTTTTATTTCAGTCTGTTCAGACAATACACTTTGTCTGCAGTACCAAGGCAAAAGACCAGAAGGTCTGACGAGGCCTCGGTACCACTACATAAATGAAATATTAAAAAGACAATGACACTCGTCGAAAGCAGAGCACACTAAAACAAGAAGCGCTCTTAAATAAAATATAAGGAATAACAAAATATACATATCAATGACATTTAGATAGTACACATTTTGATACTATAAAACTATAATGTAATGCCATAACACACAAAACCTACAAAAAACAAAAAAAAAAGCAGATAGCAAAGAGGAAAAAACCAGATATTTTAGATCAGTTTGCAACATTTGTGGGCAAGAGAGTTTCTTTCAGTATACTTTTGTATCTGTTCAGCGATATATTTGACGTAATAAGTGTATGAAGATAACTGTGTGTATTAAAGAAGTTTGGAATTTGAAATGAGAGCATTTGTCTGCCCATGTTTGTACTAATTTTGGGGAGTACATACTTGTCATTTCGAGTGTTGTAATGGTGGTCGGGTCTAGTGCATGCAGATGGATAGCTAGGTTGTTGAAGTTTATGGTCATGGAATATGTAGAGTGCAAGTTTATAAATGTAGAGATGTTCAGAGCTCAAAATTTCATACTTCTCAAAAAGCGGAGCTGTATGTGCGTCATAAGCAGAATTGTGCATTAGACAAACAGCTTTTTTTGTGATGAATGCAGATGTGTGATATTTGTTTTTGTCGTCTCACCCCAGAAAAGAAAGCAGTAGTAAACCTTAATATATATTAGTGCATACTACAGTTGGTACTTCAGCCATTCCGGTAGAAGATGCTTTGCAGATGAAATTAGGCCTATTGATTTTGAGATTTCGTTTCGTAATTTATTTACATGGTGCGTCCAATTGAGGCGTTCGTTAAACCATACTCCAATAAACTTATGATTGTCGACACGCTCAATTTCAGCTCTTTCGAATTGCAGTTCAATATGTGTATTGTGGGCGCGATTTATTGAGGTAAAAATGACATATTTTGTCTTCTTCATTTAGAAGTGAACCGTTAGCCACCAGCCAAGATGAAAGTTCAATTATATATTTGTTTATTGTGGTCTCTAGTTCGCTAAGAGTGCCACCAGAAAAAAAATGCATTTGTATCATCGGCATACAGTATTAAGTCTTCGGTAAATGGTATATTATGTATGTCATTTATATAGACGAGAAAGAGTAAAGGTCCCAGTATCTAGCCTTGCGGTAGGCCATATTTTATTAACCCTAGAGGCGATTTTATGTTATTATAAACCGTATACTGTGTGCGAGATGTAAGGTAACCTGTAATAAGCTTATGCGCAGTCCCGCGTATGCCATATGTCTCGAGCTTTGAAAGGAGTATGTCATGTTTTATGGAATCAAAAGCCTTTCTAACATCGATAATTAAACCATTTGTAAAACGTTGATCTTCAATATTACGTAATATTTTTTCTTTAATGTGCAAAAGCGCTAGTTCGGTAGTTTTCCCCTTTTGAAAACCATACTGTTGTTTATGACATCGGACTTAGAAAACATCTTTTGAAGCCTTTCATTAATTACTTTTTCAATTACTTTTGGGAACAACGGCAACACTGATATTGGTCTGTGGTTTCCTAAGTCATGTTCGGAGCCACACTTAATGATTCTTGAAGCTCTCGCTAATTTTATTAGATCAGGAAAAATACCACTTTCAAATATACAATTACATATATGAGTAAGAGGAATTGAAATAATGCTAGATACAAATTTAATAGGTGCTACATTAAGCTCGTCCACCCCGCAAGCTGAATTGTTTTTAAGGGACATGATGAACATAATTATTTCGTGCTCAGTTACTGGATAAAGAACGATTGAGTTTGAAATATCATTCTTTAGGTACTTTCGGTGGTCACCAGGCTGACTTGCAGACGTGGATTCACCAGCTGATAGGACATGAGTGTTAAATCGTGTCGCTAGTTCAGTTCCAGATAACGATTCCCCGTCTATTTTTAAATCGGGTAAGCAGTTGTGACGCAGCTTAAGTCTAATGATTTCGTCAACAGTTTCCCATATCTTTTTCGGATCATTTTGCGCGTCTGCAAACTTACGTTGAAAGAAAGCTTCTTTTGTTTTTCGAATATCGGAGTTCAGGCGATTTCTATACTTTTTGAATTCCGTTAAAATAGTAGTATCTCGAGTCTGAACAAAGCGGCCGCGTTATTCCGTTTCCATACCCCATTAATTTGGAGAGCCGATTTTTAGAAAAATCACCGACTACAAACTTTTCGCCGTGGGTCTCCACTGACTAAACATCCCAAGTGAAGAAATCATTTTGTGGCTCCGCTCGTAGGCCCTTGTAGACCCTGTTCTAGTGATCTGAGAGTGTTGCGGAGAAGCCTGTGCACAAGTCTCTATTACCTACAATGCTTATTTCCGCCCATATGTATCTGGACACAAAAATGCCCGTTTTGCGATGTTTTTTTGTTCCACCATGGACCCTTTTCAAAAGTCGGTGCCAACGCCTATCTGCCATTGCTTACTGACATACACTGAGCATGGATTGGACACGAGTGTGACGTCAGAGTTCAGCGTTAAGTTCAGTGTGACGTCAGAGTTCAGCGTCAGCGATCCTATCACGCGCTTCGTGTCCAAAAAATGGCGACCGTCAATACTGCCTCGTGGAGTTTTGAAAAGGGTCTACGTTTCGTGAACTTTTGAAAAAGGTCTACGTTTCGTGCACTTTTGAAAAGGGTCTATGTTTCACGGAGCATTCAGGAAAGGCAATATCCCTTTACCTTGTGCGCGCAGGAGTCCGCCTTGCGCTTTCGACCTCCAGGAGGACGAGGAGTATCGCGCATGTGCACCTCTTTGTTGTGCGGCTTGCTCTTGTGATCGGAGAGAACGTAGTGTTCGCATTCGATGGATTGTGTTTTTATGGTTGCACCGCAATAGCGAAGATCGCATTCCCAATGGGTCACTAGGCCACCACGGGACCACGTGAACCCAAATCCACGGTGCGTCACCTTGAAACCAAAATCCGTTTTCACAGGCACCACTTTCTCAGCGATTGGAGCCTGCAAAGCGGCCGCGGAAGACTTGGCCTTGCTGCCGGCAGTCGAGTTGGTGTGTGCAGCAGGCTCGATGGACGCCGTCGAAGTGGACGCAGAGGACGCCATTGCAGTGTCGTCAACCAGATTGCTCCAAATGCGCGCTCCGAGTTCCACGTGATGAAGTGGTCAAACCGGGACACGCATCCTGTAAAAAGAACGCTGTGAGATTTACTAAAAAGACTAGAAAACCAGCTCTTCCAAGAAATAAGAGAGCATTTAGTAGTAGCTGCAGTTTAAAGGGGAGATGCAACAATGTTTGTACTTTCAATAAATACCGCTTAAAATCAATCATTCCTGGATAATTAATACCTATAAAGCATCGTAGTATTTCTTGGCGGAACATGCTGAGAAGACCGGTGTGGCCGGTCTTCTCAGCATGTTTCGCCAGCGCGTTGCCTTGGATGTCGTCCTTCTTCACGTCCTACTTGAGCCTGAGCACACGTTAGGGAAAGTTCTTTCTTCCCCCTTCCCCTTCCCTTCCCCTTCCTTCCCCTTCCCCCCCCCCCCCCCCCCCCCCCCCCCCCCCCCCCCCCCATAGGAGGCGTCGCATTGAGTAGACGGAATTCGGTAAACCAGCCCTTGAGCTTTTTCTATTCGGGGAGGGGGAAGGGGGAGATCTTTTGGAAGAGGAATATAATGACCTATGGTTCATACGGTCTTCTGAGTAACGATGCCTAACGGTCTCATTGCGCGGCCGAGTACCTCGCTCGTGCCATTGAGGTATGGGACCCACATGCCGCTGGAGGTATTTTTGTTCTTGGCTGCAAGGGTGTGACGTTGCCTCTTGTGTATCTTGTTGACGAATCTTGTTTGTTGTTTTTGTTTTGGAAATCTTGTTTTATAACATCGGCTTTCATTTTAAGAGACTTCTTTGTTGAACAGACCATAAGAGCGCGTCGAAAAAGTGCCAACACTGCAGAGGGTTGCTGAGCTGTAGCGTGGTCTGACGAGAAGTTTAAGTAGCGACCGGTATGGTGTTGCTTTCTCATATCACCACGCGCGTCGCCGAGAAATCGCTTTCGTGGCCGAGTGGATTCTACTTCCGGCTGCCGAAGCGTACGGACGTGAGATGTCTGGCTGCGAAGGAGCGGTGTCAGCGGCCCACGGCAGCCGCGGTATTAGGGCTACCGATAATGGAGATTACCAGGTGCGGCCGTACCAAGTCCAAGATTTCTGCGACGCGTTGGTTCGTCTGGGTGCGCTCCCTGAGGTATTTGCCGTCGGGGCGTACCAGATGAACCACGTGTGGGCGGTAGCGTTTAAGTCTGCCGTGGGAAATAAGAAGATCCTGGAAACGCCGGAGCTGACGGTCAAGGGCCGCCGCTGCGTCGTCGTTGCCCCCTGCCACCAGGACATACGTGTGAAGCTGCACTGGCTTCTCTTCAACGTAGCCGACGACATGTGAGGGTGGCAGTGGCGCCGTACGGCAAAGTCACCGAGATGGCCTGGGAGAAGTGGCGCGTCGACGGCTGCCAGAGCGTCGGCACCATGACGCGCACGGGGGTGCTGCGACTCAAGGCTGGAGTCACCACGACATCCCGCACCAGCTTCGTGTGGGCGGCGAGTTAGCGCTCGTCGTCGTCTTTGGCAGGGCATCGCTTTGTCTCCGGTGCCAGCGGACAGGGCACATCCGCAAGGAGTGCCGTGTCCCGAGGTACAGCGTCTGCCGCCGGTTCGGCCATGAGGGCGCCCAGTGCGTCCGGTCGTACGCGGCGGCTGCTGCGCCCGTGGGGGGCTTGGACAAATCTGAGCTCCTTGTGGATGAGGCTGAGGCCGAGGAGGCCGCCAAGAGTTCTCCGGGCAACGAGAGTCCTGTGGTGAGCGAGTTCTTTCAATTTAAAGGCGGCGGGGCCTCGGGGACCGGAAGACGCGGCACCAAGGGCGGAGAAGACAAAGCAAGCTGGGCAACGAGAGCTGCCGTCGAAGGAGACGCTTGCACCGCCTGGTGCGCGAGTTGCCGTTGGGGACGACGCCGGTGAGGGGCGGCCAGTCGACGTGCCCATGGTCGACGCCGACACCTCGGCAGGCAGATCTGCAGCGAAAGGGACGCACGACGACGACGGCCCTGACCCAACCGAAAAGAAGGAAGAGGAGCCGCCTTCAAAGGCGGCCCATGTGGAGGCAACGAGGCCCCTTCAGCCCTGACATTCCTGCGAAAGACAGGAGGGCGGCCAAGCCGCCCCCGTGAGTGCTTGCGCCGGAGTTAGCCTAGGGCCTCGGAATCAGAGCCTTTAGAGGGCAGACGCCAGCCTGCGTCGAGACGGGACGTCGCGCATGTCCGTTCCGAGGTGAGCGCCATGCGGTCTCTCTCCCTTCCTGAATGGCGGTGATGTTAGAGGCGCCAATACGTGTTGCGACGCTTAATGTCCGCGGGCTTGCAGCCAGGCGTCGGCAGTACCAACTTAAGGCCCGTTCACACTCTTGCGACTGCTTGCGACCTCTTAAACCTGGGTTCCTTAAAACTTCTTAAACCAGAGAACACACTGGCGCCATCTATTGGGAAGCAGTGTAAACTCGGCGGTCCGGCATATTTTTTTTTTTATTTCTCGCGCAATATCCTTTTTTTTTTTGGCTCGAAAAGCTTTTGTCAATGTTATAAACGAGCCTTTCTATGGGTATTACGCACATTTGACCTCGGAAATCCCGCAAAACCTTCGCTTTTGTGAAATGCAGTTCTAGGGTCACCGCATAGATGGCGCCACAACGTCAGTGTGTTCCCTCATTCTAGAAACATTTAAGAAGTTGTAAGAGATCTCGTCTCTCTGTCGTACTCGGTCGCAAGAGTGTGAACGGGCCTTTAGTCGACTGTTCGCCGAGAGCGAGCAGGACATCATCGCCATTCAGGAAACCAAAGTCGAGAGTCTAGAACAGACAGATCGTATGGTACAACCTTTCCGAACTCTTTTAACGTTTGTGTTTCGCACGCTGTGGGAGCATGGGGGGATGTCGTTTGTTTATTCGTCGGTCTCTGGATGTTGTCGAGCCTGCTATGCTTTCTTGCACATATGGCCGTTTTGTTTTACGCGATTTTTCGTTTTCGAATATCGAGTGGCGCGTCATTTGTGTATATACGCGAACCAGCAAGCATGAGCAAAAGTTTCTCTTCTTTTTTTTTTTTTTTTTTTTTTTTTTTTTTTTTTGAGGGCGTAAGTGAGTACTTCATCTGCGATATGGTTGTCATTTTCCTTGGAGACTTTGTGTTTACGCGCCTGAGGATCGCGCGAATATGACCGTGACATGTTCGCGACCAAAGTGTTTTTTGTTTAAATGATGTTGTCGCGGATAATCCATTGGAGGACATTGCACACGTTTCCTCAAAAAGCAGCGTCCATTTTGCACATTTTCAAGGCTCTAGTCATGCTCGTCTCGACAGGGCCTATGTTTCGCTCGATCTTGTCCCGTTTTGCGATCATTATTCCGTATTGCCTGTTTCTTTCAGTGACCACGCTTCAGTCATAATCACCCTTAGCGACGAAGTTAGAAAGCCAAGGTGGAATTGGTCGCTTTGGAAGATGAACAGTGGTCTTCTGAACGATAAAGTATTGAGAGAAAAAGTAGATGACTTCTTCAGAAAGTTCCGCGAGGATGAACCGACAATGTGGGGGGGGGGGGGGGGGGGGGTGCGTTGGGAGCTTTTTAAAGAAGACGTAAAGCTTACTGCCATTGAAAGGAGCAGTATTATTAATTATCAAAATCGGCAAGAGGAAAACCTGCGGACCCACTTAAATTTTCTTTCAAAGAAAGACAGCGTGAAGCCGGGTGAGTTCGAAAAAGAAATTAGAGATATAAAAAATCAGCTCGAAATATTCGATTGTGAAAGATACCGAGGGGCTACCGTGCGTTCGAGATCAGAAAAGCTGTGGCTGGGCGAAAGGCCAACGAAGCGTGCGCTGAGCGATGAGAAAAGGCATGCTCATCGAAATAAGGTAACAGAAATTCCTTACAGTAATCTGATAACGCGCAATCAGAAGACTATCGAGCGAGCTTTTGTTGAACATTACCGCGATCTGCGTGGTCACTGCGCTCAGAAAGGTACCGGGCTCGAAAATGAATTTTCGACACTCTCGCCCAGGCTTGAAGGGCATGTACGAGACGGAATAGAAGCGCCTATCAGCATTAGTGAGCTGGAAGCGGCAATCGAGGCCTTAACCAATGGTAAAACTCCCGGGCCAGATGGGCTCTGTGCCGATTTCTATAAAACGTTTAAGAAGGAAGCCGCCGATGCTTTTTACGAGGTACTGTCGGAGGCGTACTAGAGGAGGGAGCCGCGAGCCGCACTTTAAAACACGAAGAGCCGCATACGGCTGGCGAGCCACAGCTTGGCCACCCCTGGTCAAATCAAGCAATAAAAAAATTATTTTTAAAAAAAGCGTTCGTGGCCGAGTGGCTACCGCGCTGGACTTTGCGCGGAGGCCCAGGGTTCGATTCCTGGGAGTTACGCGTCTTTTATTTATTCTTTCAGTTTAATATCCTGGTAAATTCTAGAACCTTGTTGCTTGTTCGGGGTCCGAATGTTCTAGTCGCCACACCTTCTACGCCGATCGTTCCACAAGCCAACTCGGGTAAGTAAGGGGCTCCGCTTGACGAGCCGCAGTCAGTCTCGCCCCAGCGCTTGATCCTGCTGTCTTAATGATGTGTTTTGTGTATTCTTTGTGTTTTGTGTATTCTTTGTGTGCACTCCACAACTACGGAATACAACACTACTCCTTCGATAAAACTTTCGCACAAGCTGCGTGCTGCATTAAAGGTTCGAAAGCGCGGGCATAGCACCGTGCTTTGTTTGCACAAAAACGCTGCAAAAGAGCGCCTTCTGAGGCTGCCTGCTCAAGTCCGTGCCTTTCGCATATGCTGCGTACAACCAGTGTAAACGTATATATAATTCAGTGAAGACGGTTGTCTCTGAGCGCATCTGCAATCGCGAAGGCAACAAAAATCGTACGAAGCAGACGAATGCAAACAATTCTGTGTTCTCTCAACAAATGCGAAATTCCCCGAGAAGACGCCAACGTACGTCGGCCCTGTGTGAATGCTTCGTCTTTTCCACGCCCGGCGTCGACGTGGACCGTAACGCGCGTTTTTTTTTTTTTTTTTTTTCCAGTGTGAATGCGTTTTAACCACCAGATCCGAGCAACGCGGCGTCGCGCG